TATGAAAAACATAAAATCGGCTGTAGTTCCTTAAATAACGCTCCAATCAAGAAAATAGTGAAAATCTGTGATCACTCATATTTCCTACAAAAAATCGATTTTTATATGAAAAACATAAAATCGGCTCTAGTTCCTTAAATAACGCTCCAATCAAGGAAATAGTGAAAATCTGTGATCACTCATATTTCCTATGAAAAATCGATTTTTATATGAAAAATATAAAATCGGCTCTAGTTCCGTAAATAACGCTCCAATCAAGAAACGAGTGAAAATCTGTGATCTCTCATATTTTCCATCAAAAATTGATTTTTATATGAAAAACATAAAATCGGCTCTAGTTCCTTAAATAACGCTCCAATCAAGGAAATAGTGAAAATCTGTGATCACTCATATTTCCTATGAAAAATCGATTTTTATATGAAAAACATAAAATCGGCTCTAGTTCCTTAAATAACGCTCCAATCAAGAAACGAGTGAAAATCTGTGATCTCTCATATTTTCCATCAAAAATTGATTTTTATATGAAAAACATAAAATCGGCTCTAGTTCCTTAAATAACGCTCCAATCAAGGAAATAGTGAAAATCTGTGATCACTCATATTTCCTATGAAAAATCGATTTTTATATGAAAAATATAAAATCGGCTCTAGTTCCGTAAATAACGCTCCAATCAAGAAACGAGTGAAAATCTGTGATCTCTCATATTTTCCATCAAAAATTGATTTTTATATGAAAAACATAAAATCGGCTCTAGTTCCTTAAATAACGCTCCAATCAAGAAAATAGTGAAAATCTGTGATCACTCATATTTCCTATGAAAACTCGATTTTTAAAAACATAAAATCGGCTCTAGTTCCTTAAATAACGCTCCAATCAAGAAACGAGTGAAAATCTGTGATCACTCATATTTCCTACAAAAAATCGATTTTTATATGAAAAACATAAAATCGGCTCTAGTTCCTTAAATAACGCTCCAATCAAGGAAATAGTGAAAATCTGTGATCACTCATATTTCCTATGAAAAATCGATTTTTATATGAAAAATATAAAATCGGCTCTAGTTCCGTAAATAACGCTCCAATCAAGAAACGAGTGAAAATCTGTGATCTCTCATATTTTCCATCAAAAATTGATTTTTATATGAAAAACATAAAATCGGCTCTAGTTCCTTAAATAACGCTCCAATCAAGAAAATAGTGAAAATCTGTGATCACTCATATTTCCTACAAAAAATCGATTTTTATATGAAAAACATAAAATCGGCTCTAGTTCCTTAAATAACGCTCCAATCAAGGAAATAGTGAAAATCTGTGATCACTCATATTTCCTATGAAAAATCGATTTTTATATGAAAAATATAAATTCGGCTCTAGTTCCGTAAATAACGCTCCAATCAAGAAACGAGTGAAAATCTGTGATCTCTCATATTTTCCATCAAAAATTGATTTTTATATGAAAAACATAAAATCGGCTCTAGTTCCTTAAATAACGCTCCAATCAAGAAAATAGTGAAAATCTGTGATCACTCATATTTCCTATGAAAACTCGATTTTTAAAAACATAAAATCGGCTCTAGTTCCTTAAATAACGCTCCAATCAAGAAAATAGTGAAAATCTGTGATTACTCATATTTCCCATGAAAAAACGATTTTTCTATGAAAAACTTAAAATCGGCTGTAGTTCCTTAAATAACGCTCCAATCAAGAAAATAGTGAAAATCTGTGATCACTCATATTTCCTATGAAAAATCGTTTTTTATATGAAAAACATGAAATCGGCTGTAGTTCCTTAAATAACGCTCCAATCAAGAAAATAGTGAAAATCTGTGATCACTCATATTTCCTATGAAAAATCGTTTTTTATATGAAAAGCATAAAATCGGCTGTAGTTCCTTAAATAACGCTCCAATCAAGAAAATAATGAAAATCTGTGATCACTCATATTTTCCATCAAAAATCGATTTCTATATGAAAAACATAAAATCGGCTCTAGTTCCTTAAATAACGCTCCAATCAAGAAAAAAGTGAAAATCTGTGATCACTCATATTTCCCATGAAAAATCGATTTTTATATGAAAAACATAAAATCGGCTCTAGTTCCTTAAATAACGCTCCAATCAAGAAAATAGTGAAAATTTGTGATCACTCATATTTCCTATGAAAAATCGACTTTTATATGAAAAACATAAAATCGGCTCTAGTTCCTTAAATAACGCTCCAATCAAGAAAATAGTGAAAATCTGTGATTACTCATATTTCCCATGAAAAAACGATTTTTCTATGAAAAACATAAAATCGGCTCTAGTTCCTTAAATAACGCTCCAATCAAGAAAAAAGTGAAAATCTGTGATCACTCATATTTCCCATGAAAAATCGATTTTTATATGAAAAACATGAAATCGGCTGTAGTTTCTTAAATAACGCTCCAATCAAGAAAATAGTGAAAATCTGTGATCACTCATATTTCCTATGAAAAATCGTTTTTTATATGAAAAGCATAAAATCGGCTGTAGTTCCTTAAATAACGCTCCAATCAAGAAAATAATGAAAATCTGTGATCACTCATATTTTCCATCAAAAATCGATTTCTATATGAAAAACATAAAATCGGCTCTAGTTCCTTAAATAACGCTCCAATCAAGAAAAAAGTGAAAATCTGTGATCACTCATATTTCCTATGAAAAATTGATTTTTATATGAAAAACATAAAATCGGCTCTAGTTCCTTAAATGACGCTTCAATCAAGAAACGAGTGAAAATTTGTGATCACTCATATTTCCTATGAAAAATCGACTTTTATATGAAAAACATAAAATCGGCTTTAGTTCCTTAAATAACGCTCCAATCAAGAAACGAGTGAAAATCTGTGATCACTCATATTTCCTATGAAAAATCGATTTTTATATGAAAAACATAAAATCGGCTGTAGTTCCTTAAATAACGCTCCAATCAAGAAAATAGTGAAAATCTGTGATCACTCATATTTCCTATGAAAATCATAAAATCGGCTGTAGTTCCTTAAATAACGCTCCAATCAAGAAAATAGTGAAAATCTGTGATCACTCATATTTCCTATGAAAAATCGATTTTTATATGAAAAACATAAAATCGGCTGTAGTTCCTTAAATAACGCTCCAATCAAGAAAATAGTGAAAATATGTGATCACTCATATTTCCTATGAAAAATCGATTTTTATATGAAAAACATAAAATCGGCTCTAGTTCCTTAAATAACGCTCCAATCAAGAAAATAGTGAAAATCTGTGATCACTCATATTTCCCATGAAAAAACGATTTTATATGAAAAACATAAAATCGGCTCTAGTTCCGTAAATAACGCTCCAATCAAGAAACGAGTGAAAATCTGTGATCACTCATATTTTCCATCAAAAATCGATTTTTATATGAAAAACATAAAATCGGCTCTAGTTCCTTAAATAACGCTCCAATCAAGAAACGAGTGAAAATCTGTGATCACTCATATTTTCCATCAAAAATCGATTTTTATATGAAAAACATAAAATCGGCTCTAGTTCCTTAAATAACGCTCCAATCAAGAAACGAGTGAAAATCTGTGATCATTCATATTTCCTATGAAAACTCGATTTTTATATGAAAAACATAAAATCGGCTCTAGTTCCTTAAATAACGCTCCAATCAAGAAAATAGTGAAAATCTGTGATTACTCATATTTCCCATGAAAAAAACGATTTTTATATGAAAAACATAAAATCGGCTCTAGTTCCGTAAATAACGCTCCAATCAAGAAAATAGTGAAAATCTGTGATCACTCATATTTTCCATCAAAAATCGATTTTTATATGAAAAACATAAAATCGGCTGTAGTTCCTTAAATAACGCTCCAATCAAGAAAATAGTGAAAATCTGTGATCACTCATATTTTCCATCAAAAATCGATTTTTATATGAAAAACATAAAATCGGCTGTAGTTCCTTAAATAACGCTTCAATCAAGAAACGGGTGAAAATCTGTGATTACTCATATTTTCCATGAAAAAACGATTTTTCTATGAAAAACATAAAATCGGCTCTAGTTCCGTAAATAACGCTCCAATCAAGAAACGAGTGAAAATCTGTGATCACTCATATTTTCCATCAAAAATCGATTTTTATATGAAAAACACAAAATCGGCTGCAGTTCCTTAAATAACGCTCCAATCAAGAAAATAGTGAAAATCTGTAATTACTCATATTTCCCATGAAAAATCAATTTTTATATGAAAAACATAAAATCAAGAAAATAGTGAAAATCTGTGATCACTCATATTTCCTATGAAAAATCGATTTTTATATGAAAAACATAAAATCGGCTGTAGTTCCTTAAATAACGCTCCAATTAAGAAAATAGTGAAAATCTGTGATCACTTATATTTCCTATGAAAAATCAATTTTTATATGAAAAACATAAAATCCGCTGTAGTTCCTTAAACAACGCTCCAATCAAGAAAATAGTGAAAATCTGTGATCACTCATTGTCCAAACAAGGTTTGGACCTTAATAACTTCAAAAGCTCACATTACTTACATCATTGTAACATTAAACATTTAATTTGAAACCATTGTATTTATTTACCTTTAGTGTAAACACTTTAGTACTCGCTCTTTTTATAAATTGTCAAAAATAACTTTTACTACAAAAAGTCATTTTATGTCAATAATTTTTAGGCATTAATGTTAGCTGCGACTAACAATATATATTTAAAATATTATTCTTTTAAAAACCATCAAACGGTGAGCTTGAAATTACTAATCCCAAATAATTATCTAAACCCAAATTTGTCCAAAATAAAAACTGAATTTTTACTGATTGAAATTGTATCCCTTTTTTTTTATTTTCTCTATTTACTACTAACAATTATAATTGCACTGGAGCAATTATAATTGACTCAACTCTTTTCTAGATAAATAACTAATATTTAATCTCTCTCATCTGTAAGAGCAGATAAATAAATTATTAATAAAAGTAGTTAAATTCTAAACGCTCTACTTTTATTCATGGTCCTTTTGTGTGGGAACCAAAGCTGAAAAGAAAAAAGAAGATCCACACCAATATTGTCTCTCAAGTGTCAGTGAAGATAATTGAGTTGTATCAAAGTCTATTTGAGGAGGTAACAGAAGAAAATAAAATAACTTCAGTACCAATCGAAGTGAGTAAGTAAAAAACTAAAGCGCTTACATTTATGTCTTTATATTTTAAAACAAAAACATACAACACGTACAATAAATTAAAACATAATACAACAGTTCTAGTTCAAAAAGAAAATTAAAAATATCAAAAAATTGTCATTGTTTTCTAAAATAATAGTCCGTTTAAAAACGAAAAAACATAAGTGTCGTTCGTAAAAAAATCGGTAAAAAAAAAAGAAAGGAAAAAAGGTATAAAATTTAATTTTGTCTAAGAAGAAACTGTATAAAAAACAAGTGACATATGTGAAAAGAAAATCAAAGTCTGTCATCTTTACAAAACCAACGAAAATCCATTTTTAGTTACCAAAATTTAAAAAAAATAGTGATTAAAAGTCGCCATATTAAAAAATTAAAAGCATAAAAAAAGAGGTTATGTTTGTACATAGAAAAGAAAAACCGCCATATTAAATAAAAATACAAAAAAAAAAGGAATAAAACTGTATAAAAATACATAATATATGTTAACGAAAAATCATGAAAAGTCGCCATTAAAATATATTGTTACATAACGGCCATTTTTTTATATACATAGCTTCATACATAATTTTTTTCAATCACTTACAGAGTCAAAGTTAAAATTAAATAAAATAAAAAAAAAAAAAAATATTTGAAAATCAAATCTAACCCGTTAAACAAATTTTTTTCATCAAATAAACCAATCAAGAAAATATTAAAAAAAAAAAATAAAATAAACATACACAAAATAAAACGAATTTAAGAAATTACTTTTTTTCCAAACGAATATCAAAAGAAATTAAGAAACAAAAAGATCCCGTTGTTTTAAGTGCATCAACACTCGTCATCCAAATAAGCTGAAAGAAGAACATATATATGTACGTGTTGTATGTCGTTGGCGTATGTTTATAAGGTAAATCTCTCTAAAATTCAAATTATAAAATTTCATACATATATCCAAAAAAAAAAAAAAAAAAACATTAATATCTTATCACATCATTTCCCTTTCATTAACATCCTAAGCTCTTAAACAAAATAACACACAAACAATTTGAATTCTCTTAAACTCATACAAAAAAGCTTGAACATAAAAAATTCACGATCTCTTAGAACATTTTCTTGAATTCTATTTTTTTTCTTCTTCATAGAGTTCAATCTCTCATAGAATTTTTATCTAAAATAACTCTTTACTTCTTTATAACTTTTCTCTTACGTGTACATACGTACCAACAATTCATACAGTCCACTCGTATTAAAACAAAAAGAAAACAAAATAATACTCAACTTTACTTATTTAACTTCAGTGTTACCAGGAAGTATTTATGAAACAAATTTATTAAAAAATATATAAAATTGTGTTATATATTTTGCAAAAACTATTTCAAAATTTTAGAAATCCGCATGAAAAATTACACAAAAATCTACTTAATATATCAACATCAAATTTAAAAAAAAACAAGCTCATCATTTAAAATAATTATTCATACATCGGCAACACTGACTGATTTCAGGAAAAAAATTGAACATTTGGTGGTGGTTTTTTCATACTCTCTCTTAATTTTGAAAACAACTCACCCTCATTTAACGCACCTAAGAAATCTAATTGCGTAATATCTAGCTTATTTCAAAGGTCATATACGTTTTGCAGTTTATTTTTCATAAAAACCTAAACCAAACAAAAAAGTTATACTTTAATATTATTAAAAATTTTTTTTTAAACAAAATTTTGAAAAAATCAAATCCTTAAATCAAAATTAAAAAAAAAAATTAAATATTAAAAAAAAGGAAAACCCCCTACCAAACTAAATTTAATTAAAACTAAGTTTAATTAACCAAATTAAATTTAATGCTCTTAACGCTAAATATCAAGAATTGTAAAAATTTTCTGATTAGATTTTGGTTTAGAGGAAATTAATATTGTTTTCTTTTCTTCTCAATCAAATTATTTCGCATCAAATTATTACAAAAATTAATTGTTTACAAAATATTAAAGCAAAAATAATATCTTATTTGCAACGATTAACCAATAATCTGAATAAATTCAACTTGATTCCGGTTTCCTTTACAAAACTTAAGTAAAGGTTCAATTCTAAAACTCCACTTCTATTGACATAAAATAAATTTTATTTATTTATTACGTCTAGTGCTATACCAATAAATAGCGCGCAAAAAAACATACGAACATAAACTTATCTTATATTCAAATTTAAAACTCATATCTAGTGCTATACCGATAAATAGCCTACAAAACCGCAAATACTATTAAAACAAACACTATCTCAATTGTTTCCCATACAATTTTAATTACACCTATCTTGATTTTCTCATCTAGCACTATACCCGCAGATTATCATTTAAACACAATACAATTTGATATTTAAGAACAAAAAATTTAGGTCCCTGTACTTCCCATTAAACAGTTTTTTTTTTTTTTCTTTTTGTTAAAATGAGCACATCATCTCAAAAAGACACTACAACCAATTCAGCTCTGAACGAGCGCTTTATATTTGACTGCGATCATTTACTGCAGTTCTGTCAAAAGTTTAATCAAGCACCCATTGAAAACCAAACGGATTCCGTGTTAGATGTAAAATTAAGAGATTTAGATTCAAGATGGGGAAAAGTAGAGGCTTCCTATGAAAAATTGATGCTAGCCCCTGAAAAGGAGGTGCAATCGCAATTTAAAGAAAAAGCCAAAACTAGTTTTGACTCTTGCGTCGATGCTTATTACCTCTGTACTTCACAAATCATTGATTTAATGAAGACAGTTAAATTAGATACATCTGTAGCCCAAGGTTTCGATGCGTCAGCTCGCTACTCATTACCCCTTCCACAAAATGTACCTCTAGATAACTCAAATATAAGCATTAAAATCCCACCATGCGATACAGAAATATTTTACGGCAGCTATGAACAATGGCCATCATTTCGGGATATGTTCACAGCCGTATATATAAACCATTCAAAATTAACCCCAGTCACAAAACTATATCACCTCCGTAACAAAACTAAAGGTGAAGCAGGCGAAATTGTCAAACGCTACCCTCTATCTCATGACAATTTTGATCTCGCCTGGAAAGCATTAAGAACTCGTTATGAAAACAAAAGAGTACTCGTAGATAATCAAATTAAGATATTATTCGATATTCCCCCTGCGAAACACGAAGACAGTGAGTCAATTAGACGAATTCAATCCTCAGTAAGTGATTCCTTAGCTACCCTAAGAACTCTAGGAATCGAGGTAGAAAGTTGGGATCCTATTTTAATCCGTCTAATCTCTACAAAACTACCAGAATTTACACTTTCCTTGTGGGAACAATCGCTCGCATCTCCTCGTGAGCTACCAAAATGGTCTCAAATGTCGCAATTTCTAGTCGACAGATATGAAGCGGTTGAACGTCTTAATAGTATAAAAACAACAAAAGATTGCTTTGTGTTAACAGAAACACCTAATTCTAAAATACAATCATATGTCTCTCAAGAAAGTTTATTTCCACCATGCAAATTATGTAATGAAGCTCACTCTCTAAGAAAATGCCCAAAATTTCGAACATATACTATTCAACAAAGAATAGATTACGTTTATAAGAACAAATATTGTAACAATTGTTTGTCTCCATCTCATACAAAAACGAATTGTAAAAGCAAAAATACTTGTCTTAACTGTAAAAAGACACACCACACATTATTGCACATGAAAAAGAAGTGGTCAAACTCTCCCCAAAGCTCAGATACGAACAACACAAATGAAGCAAATAATATATCTCAAAACCAACCAGTACATAGATCTTTTCATAATCAAAATAATACTCAAAATGAAAGCCCCCAAACGTCAGGAGAAATTCAAGCTAATTTCTCAGCTAGCAACGAAAACATACTATTACGAACTGCTTTAATGCAAATTGAGCATATGGGTGAACATTTCACCATAAGAGCCTTAATTGATCCTGGCTCACAACGCACATTTTTATCCGAAAGAATAAGGAATAGACTTCAACTTCCATATACAAAATGTCACTATGAAATCGTTGGTATTGGTGGTCAAAAACAATCCTCAAATAAGGAGTGTGAATTCATATTGTACGCCAAAAGATATAACATGAAATTCCCTATTAAAGCTATAATTTTGCCAAAAGTTACCAAAAATCTTCCTTCTTACACATTTGATATTCCAAAATCATCTGAATTACTTGAACTTGACTTAGCTGACCCAACATTCAATCAATCATCTCAAATAGACTTGTTGCTAGGAAATGATTATGAGCATTTCATTAATATTGAAGGTATAAAGAAGAATATCTGCGGAAAAACATCAGCATATAACACTATTTTTGGTTGGGTACTCAGCGGTCCCATAAACATTATAAACATTCAGTCCTTTACAACTTCTGTTATTTCATCAGACACATCTGACCTCAATGACATTTTAAGAAAATTTTGGGAACAAGAAGAAATTCCCACATCACGTACAAAATCAGAAGAAGATATATATTGCGAAGAATTTTATGCAAAAACGACTAAACGTCGAGAAGATGGCAAGTATGTTGTAAGATTACCCTTTAAAAAAGACTTTCCCGAAAAGGTTTTTCTCGGATCATCACGATTCATAGCTTTAGCTCAGTATTCAAGAATGGAAAAAACACTTGCTAAAGATACAAGTCTCCAATCCCAATATAATACTGTTCTTAATGAATATTTAACTCTTGACCACATGGAAGAAACTTCATCACGTGAAATTGTGGTACATGATAAATATAATTCATTTTACTTACCTCATCACGCTGTAGTTCGCCCTGAACATAAAACTACAAAAGTAAGGGTTGTCTTTAACGCCTCAAGGAAAACCAAATCACAATTTTCACTTAATGATATCTTATATACTGGCCCAATTCTTCAACGCGACTTAATAACAGTTATTCTCAATTGGAGAAAGTATCAGTATGTATTTAGCGCCGATATTCAAAAAATGTATCGCCAGATACTAATTCACCCGACAGATAGGCCCTTTCAAAGAATTTTATTTCAAAATGAACCCAACGGTCCTATTAGAGACTATCAGTTGAAAACTGTAACATTTGGAGTAAATTGTGCTCCCTATCTCGCAATTCGTACTCTACTTCAAATAGCATTTGATCACGAAACATCAAACCCTAGAGTAGCTAATGTTTTACGCAATGAAACATACGTCGATGACATTCTTACTGGCGGCCACACTATTGACGATACTTTATCTATTCGGAATCAGTTAATTAAAGTTTTAAAATCTGCAGGTATGCCACTTAAAAAGATTACTGCAAACAATCCCCAGTTACTTTTAGGTCTACCCAAAGAAGATTTATATGATCAAGATTTTCTTTTATTTGATGAAACAAGCTCCACAAAGACTCTGGGCATTAAATGGAATGCTCTCACAGACTCTTTTACCTATAGCTTTTCTACAATCCCAAGATTTGAAAAAATTACCAAACGCCAAATTCTATCAATCGTAGCCAAACTATTTGACCCGGCTGGTTGGCTCGCACCAGTAGTGATTAAAGCCAAAATGCTTATGCAACATCTCTGGCTGGAAGGATTGGATTGGGATGAAGATGTCTCAGCAGAATCACTGGAAAATTGGAATAATCTTGCCCAAGATATCTCAGGTGTCGAAACTATCCGCATTCCTCGCTGGCTACAATTCAACCCATCGGATGTTGTTCAAATTCATGGTTTTTCAGATGCCTCTAAAACAGCATATTGTGCCACTGTATATATTAGGTGCCAAACTAATACCCACATCGTTTTCTCTAACTTACTAGTGGCAAAGAGTAAAGTGGCCCCTATCCAAACTGTTTGTCTTCCACGTTTGGAACTTAACGGAGCAGTTCTATTAGCAGAATTAGTACATTCCCTTTGTTCATCCCTAGAATTTATTGGAAAAGATATATATTTATGGACAGATTCCTCTATAGTGTTAGGTTGGCTGTCAAAACCCCCATCGACATGGGAAACATATGTAGCAAATCGTATTTCTCGAATACATACTCTTGTACCCAATATCAATTGGCGTCATGTTTCTACGCACGATAATCCTGCTGACTTAGGAACCCGAGGCTGTAAACCATCAGAACTCGCTATCAATAAACTTTGGTGGCATGGTCCATCATGGCTAACTAGACCCGTGAATGCATGGCCAAATAGAAACCCATTAAAACCAAATGAAAACCATAACAAAGTTCAAGTTTTCCACAATATTATACAAAATGAAGATATACTTGAAAATTTCTCTTCATACTCTAGAGCGCTTCGAGTAATCTGTTACATGTTTAGGTTTTTCAATCGACTCACTAAGCGATGTATAAACCCATCTACAGTAACCATAACTCAGCAAGAAATTAATTTCATAAAAACTAAGCTTATAATTTTATCTCAAAAAACCTATTTTACTGAAGAATATGCACAACTCTCTAACTCTCAACCAATATCTAGTAAAAGCTCTTTAAAATGTCTCAATCCATTCCTTGATTCGAACTCAGTATTACGTGTAAATGGTCGTTTGTCTCAATCTTTTCTCCCATATAATGAACGATATCCTATTATATTATCCGGAAATTCTCGATTCTGTCATTTGTATCTTTCTTATTTGCATACATTACTCTTACATGCTGAGTACAATCAAATGTGTAGAATAGTACAAACTGAATTCTATATATCGAGACTCAAACCCCGAGTGAAAAATATAATTCGCCATTGCAAAACGTGCATAATTTACAAGCAACAGTCATGCTCTCAAATTATGGCTCCACTACCGCCGGAAAGATGCCAAATATCGCCTCCGTTTCAAAGCATAGGTATAGACTTTGCTGGCCCTTTTGATCTTAAATCGTCATCTCTACGCAAATCTACCATCATTAAAGGATATGCCTGCGTTTTTGTTTGCTTCAGCACAAAGGCTATACATTTAGAAGCTTGCTCTGATCTATCATCTGCAGCATTTCAAGCTGCGTTTTCCCGATTCATTGGGAGGCGGGGACTCCCCCAAAGGGTTATGTCTGATAACGGTAGGAATTTCCTTGGTGCCAGTAGAGTTCTAGTACGAGAATTTGCTTCATTCATAAAATCTGTCGCATCAGATATCTCTCAAAAGTATATCTCTCACGGCTTCGAATGGAAGTTTATTCCACCACATGCACCCCACATGGGCGGACTTTGGGAAGCCGCTGTAAAAAGCTTTAAGTTCCATTTAAAGCGAATTTCTGGTGCTCAAAAATTCAACTTCGAAGAGTTCTCCACTATCCTCGCAAGAATCGAAGGAGTTTTAAATTCACGGCCAATTTCCGCCTTATCTGAAGACCCTACTGATCTAACAGCACTTACTCCTGGTCACTTCTTAAGAGGAGCACCCATAATGGCTTTCCCAGAGCAAAGTATTCAAGATATCTCCCTTGTAAACAGATGGGAAAAACTGAAAGCTGTCCATCATCAATTCGCAATCAGATGGAAGGAAGATTATTTGAAATCTCTTCACAAGCGGTACAAATGGAAAAACAATGTTCGGAATCTTCAAATTGGCGATCTAGTAATCGTTATGGATGACTTACTACCTCCGTCTGAGTGGCGAATAGGTAGAGTCGTTAAGTTATATCCAGGTTCTGATACTAATATTCGTACTGTTGATATACGCACCGCATCAGGAATTATAACTCGTTCAATCGTAAAACTTTGCTATCTTCCCTTCCTAAACGAAAACTTATTTTAATTACTTGCTCATGATCTAATAACTTTAACATTTTGTTCACAAACTTCTAACCTAATCACATTTCTCATTTACTAACACATCATTCATAACTCACTAGATCTCTTTATTTCACTTCAGCTTATAAACATTTTACTTAAACCCTCACTGTTAAGTTCTCCACTAATTGTATCTTTCATTCCCAAACAGAAATCAGAAGAACCGTATCAAATGAGGCAGCATCGCAACTATCGCTCAGAAAGCAACCATACTAGACGACATCGTGAGCGAACCCGAGATTCGGACATTCATCAGTGTCTAATATGCAGAAAATATCATCCGCTTAAGTTCTGCCGCAAATTCCTTAACATGGACACCAGAAGACGTAAAATGGTAGTGGAGAAGCTGGGATATTGCCTTAATTGCTTGGCCAGAAGCCATAAAATTATGTCTTGCACTTCATTAGCAACATGCAAGATATGTGATAAACTTCACCACACATTACTACATGCAAGTCAACAACGCCATCGACCACTGCCAAGTTTAAAAACCCAACATTTGCGTAATCAACGTACATTACGAGAGCACAAATCTAATGTGATCACACCTAATACCAAGATCTTGTCCGAGGCCATTAGATCATTAGCTCAAATACTTTGTGCTTCAGATGTTCCAAACTCATTTGCATGACTGCAAGGCGGGCGCCATGTCCAAACAAGGTTTGGACCTTAATAACTTCAAAAGCTCACATTACTTACATCATTGTAACATTAAACATTTAATTTGAAACCATTGTATTTATTTACCTTTAGTGTAAACACTTTAGTACTCGCTCTTTTTATAAATTGTCAAAAATAACTTTTACTACAAAAAGTCATTTTATGTCAATAATTTTTAGGCATTAATGTTAGCTGCGACTAACAATATATATTTAAAATATTATTCTTTTAAAAACCATCAAACGGTGAGCTTGAAATTACTAATCCCAAATAATTATCTAAACCCAAATTTGTCCAAAATAAAAACTGAATTTTTACTGATTGAAATTGTATCCCTTTTTTTTTATTTTCTCTATTTACTACTAACAATTATAATTGCACTGGAGCAATTATAATTGACTCAACTCTTTTCTAGATAAATAACTAATATTTAATCTCTCTCATCTGTAAGAGCAGATAAATAAATTATTAATAAAAGTAGTTAAATTCTAAACGCTCTACTTTTATTCACTCATGTTTTCCATCAAAAATCGATTTTTATATGAGAGACATAAAATCGGCTGTAGTTCCTTAAATAACGCTCCAATCAAGAAAATAGTGAAAATCTGTGATCACTTATATTTCCTATGAAAAATCGATTTTTATATGAAAAACATGAAATCGGCTGTAGTTCCTTAAATAACGCTCCAATCAAGAAACAAGTGAAAATCTGTGATCACTCATATTTCCTATGAAAAACCGATTCTTATATGAAAAACATAAAATCGGTTCTAGTTCCTTAAATAACGCTCTAATCAAGAAACGAGTGAAAATCTGTGATCACTCATATTTCCTATGAAAAATCGATTTTTATATCACAAACATTTCACCGAATATTTTATTATTATGTACAGTGTCTCACATAAGTATTCGAATTTGGTTGTACTTTGAAAAGAAACATAATTTAATAATATTTTTTGTGTGTGAAATGAATAATTAAATTTGTTATATTGTCTAGAGAGTCCTATGGTATAATATCACAATCTTTAAAATTTGGAAAAATTACATTTACCTCAATTGATTTAACTTTTTTTAAAAAAAGGCCATAAAATTGCCTCACAAAAGTATTCGAATTTTTCCTGTATTTCATATATGACCATATTATACGAAACACAAAAATTATAATCGAGTGGTTTTTTGCTTAAAATTGTGTTAAGGGGTTACTATCGACCGAAATAATATATTTTTGGCCCATTTGTTCCAAAATTTTGGAGCATTTGTACCATCTTTTCATGTAATATCATTAAAATGGCGATTTTTGACCATATTTGCAATTTTTTTTTCCTTTTTTTCAGAAATAAACCCAAACTTTAATATTGGGATTTAATAGACCCCTTGAGGTATCTAAAATTAATAATTTTTGTTATAAGGATCTGTACTTAAAAGTTCCAAGATGTATTTTTGGTATCGTTCTTCTGTTTCTAATTAAATTGTATGGATCTTAAGTCCCTTTTCGTACCACTAGGGCCGATATTTTCCGACAAAGTTGGCTAGTATACATTCATGTACATATTAGCACTAATATATTTTAAATTTTCAATACATTATATCGGTATACAATTCCAAAACATGCCTTAACAAAACGTCATCCTATACAGTAGATTTGAGTTTTTACTATTCGTAACTTTCACGCTTATGTTGCCCATTACAATAACACTGTAAGTCCAAAATTTTGGGTTTATTTTGATCATAGTAATCAATATTTAAACAGATATCGATATTTTTGAGTTAGACCATAATGATATAGTGGCATGCAGCCTGGAGGTCATTGGTATATAAAAATAATGATACTACCATATTGAATGGTGTTTCTTCGAGGCATGTTTTGGAGTTGTACACTTCCACAATACATTGAAAACTTAAAATATATAAAAGCTGATATCTAAAAGAATATATACAAGAAAACTTTCCCCGAAAACTTTTGACCCTAGTATTATGAAAATGGACTTAAGTTCCAATATATTGAATTAGCGACAGAATAATGATATCAATAATATATCTTGGATCGTTTGAATACAGATTCTTGTAACAAAAATACTATTTTTAGATACTCCAAGGGGTCTATTAAATCCCAATATCAAACTTTGGTTTTATCTCTGGAAAAAAAGAGAAAATACTACAAATATTGCCAAAAATCGCCATTTTAATGGTATTACATAAAAAGAGGGGTACAAATCCCCAAAAATTGTGGACCAAATGGGCCTAAAATATATCATTTCGGTTGATAGTAACCCCTTAAAACAATTTAAAGCATAAAAACTAGTCTATTCTAAAATTTGTGTTTCGTATAATATGCTCAAATATGAAATACAGTAAAAATTCGTATACTTTTGTGAGGCAATTTTATGGACTTTTTTAAAAAAAGCTAATTTAATTTAAGTAAATGTAAATTTTTCAAGTTTTAAAAAGCGTGATATCAAACTTAAGGGCTGTCTAGACAATATAACAAATTAATTTTTTTTGGCACACAAAATATATTATTAAATTTGGTTTCTTTTCATAGTTTACCTAAATTCGAATACTTATGAGAGACACTGTATGTATGTATGTATGTAAATAACATAAAATTGTAGAATCGTTAAGTAGAAATTTGGTTTATTTGGAAATAAATTAAATTAAAAAATACAATTTTTTCCACTTACTTGTTTGATTCTGCTTTAAAGAAATTGCTGTAATTAATAAATTTTATTGATTTCCAATATTTGCACTTCAAAATCAATAAATGCATTTATTTACTTTACGATACACAAACACTAGTACAACAATAACAAAAAGAAACGAACGACAACATAAATTCGAAACAATGGAAACGAAACAGAAATTTAACAACTTTTTACATTCTTTTCTGTAAATTTAAATGGATATTTTAACAAAAAAGTTATGCACACTTATTAAGTAGCATTTTAACTTTATTTTTATGCAAAAATATTTAATAAAACTTTACTATTTCAAAGCAAAATTATAAATTTTCTAAGACACTTTATATATTGAACCGTACCGTAAGAAAATTCCGCGTAAACTAAATTTTCTACTAAAGAAATGTCAAAATAACGTTTTTTTTCTGCATTTTGTTTGTTTTTAATTGATGCTGTTGTAATTTTTTAGAAATAATATGACATTTTTTAGTTAATTGTTATTTATGGTACATATTATGTACAATTTTTTGATTTAGCTAGAGCACCTTTTGTTTAATTACAGGAAACTTCTCAAGATGTTTTGTGTTTTGGACTCCAGAGACTTCTGAACAGTTATAAAATAGCAGTTCCTTGCTTTGTTTATAAAATTTCGAAAACTTCAAGAAACGTCCGGCAATGTTTAAGGCCTTCTCCTGTTTTGTTATATTAATCTCCGGAAACATCTGGTACCTTTAAGTAACTTCCAGAGATAAATACAACAAAACAGGAGAAGCTCTTAAGCATCGCCGCACGTTTCTTGAAGTACATACACTGTTTAATACTTGGATTAGTTTAACCGGAACTTCTTGTTGTGTACTTTTTTAACTCAGGAAACTTGGAGAAACTTCACTAAAAGGTTATCAGCTGCTCCCGCTTTGCTTTATTAAACTCTAGAAACTTCTGGGAAATTATTAACAGTAGTAAGTTACATACAAGACGTACCCATGAGAATCACTGCTACAACAACAAAAAAATATGTATGTACAAGTTACATGTGCGTATATTTATTAAGATCCAATAACTTCGAGAGTCTTAGATTGTATGTATGTGTTACTACGAACTACTGTTGTTAAACTCCAGGCATGATTTGCTAACTGCCGAAGATGTTTTATAAAACTATGGGAAATTATTAACTTTGACTTGTTTTTATTAAACAGCAACAGCAGATCCTTGTTTGTAGTAATTCCAGATAATTCTAGAGGAACTTTAAGAAACAGCAGCATCATGCTTCTGTTCTTTTTTTTTTTTTGCAAAAATATATTCTGGAATCTTTCTAGAAATATTATGTTTTGAAGAATATTTCCAGAAATTTCTAAAGAATTTTTAACAACAACACATTCTATGATTGATATACCTTCAAGATATTTCTAGAATTTAACCGAAATTTCTTTATTCTTAACATTATTGGAGTTGTGTCTTCATTAGAAAATTCTTCTTCTAATGGTTTATTAGATCGGAATGTGTTCCGGAATCTTTCTAGAAATTTAATGGAAGTTCTGAAGAATATTTCCACACATTTCTAAAGAATATTTAACTTCAATACGCTGTATGGTTGATAAACTTCCAGAAGCTTCTAGAATTTGCCCAAATTTTTAGTATTAATATCATTGGAGCTGTGTCTTCATTATAGGAAACATTCATAATAGCATTTTATTGTGTTTTATTAGATCGGAATGTATTCCGGAATCTTTGTAGAAATGTTAAAAGAATACTGTTGAACTCCGGAAACATCGAGAAACTTACAGATAAAATTTAACTAATACATACATATGTTTAAAAGTCCCTGGCGGAAAATCAAATATTGCAACAGGAAATTCCATTTCATTTATAACAACAAACTTTGTTTAATTAATGTTGCATCAACATGTTTATAGAAAAAATGTATCTTTAACAAGTTAATTTTACTATATCTGCATTAGCCCCTCAAAAATCTAATATCTTTAAAGAAATACTCTTTAATTAACAGTCCTATAGAACATATTACATTAATTAGTAAAGAACTTTCAAATAAATCCCTTCCTAAAATAAAAGTCAAGTAATTTTTAATTCAAACATTTTATTTTAAATTTTTTATTTTTTTTTTTTTAATTACCATTTCTTTAATTTTATTTAATCAGTCTCTGGTTGTGTGTATTAAGATTTAAATTTTACAAAAGAAATTTTAAAAATTCTTTAAATTTTCTAACGTTAGCAATGCCAAAAGTCATATGTTACAAAAATATTTAACAATGTTTTCTTCTTCTTCATTCCAAATGACTTTCGGCCTTATTTGCAGAATTTATCATAAACTTAGAAATTTGTTTTACATTTTCATGTTTTTGTTTAATGAAATTATTTTCTTCCATATTTCATTTTCTAAAAAATTAAACTTAAATTCTAAAAAGAACTAATTTTCATTAAATAAATAGTAGGAAATGATTTTTTTTTTTAAATTTAAAACAAAATTAAAATTTGTTGCCAAAATAATAATGAATGAATTTTGTCTCATATTGCAATAAAGAGAAAAAATTTACAAAATAAATAACAAAAATAAAGAAGTTGTTGTCTGCTTGTTTTGTAATAACTAAGGGATCACATGTTCGGGCAAGTTTTCTTTTTGGATTCCTACATATGGAATGAGTTTAGATATTTATGTATTTGTTATCCTAAAGAAAGCCTTAAAGGGCTTGTTGCAGAAATAAGGATATACACAGAGATTTCCCTATTTCTGTAACATAGGTTTTATAGATTACAAAACAAGCTTCAGACATTTAACAAATGAATTTGGAAAAAATGATATTAATATGGACAAAACAATTCATTTAAAGTTTCCTACAAGTATTTTCTTCTTTTCACATTTCCAGATCTGTTTTTTTTTTTTGTTTACTCGATACCACGCCGCCGGCAGCCTAATTCAATTGTTACTGCAAGCTTGTGGTGTTTTAGTAATTGGAAGTAGTTGTTAGCCTAACACTTCTTGTTCTTAAGACTTAAATATAACGCTTATAATAAAAATAGTAATAATATTAAATATTACATAATAATAAATACATCCCGCCCAGCAATTTGAACGCAGTTCCCCTACTTATTACACTAGCCTACTGTATTACATATTTATACTACTATCTAGTTGGGTAAAATCTCACTGAGCAGCTCCTTTGTACCCGGCTGTATTGAATCGGGGAATTTGATATCAAACGACACCATCAGATCACCACGACGTGATGGTTCTTTGGGGAAAGGCAACCCCCGGCCACTAATACGTTTCACGGTGGTGGGCTTAATGATTTCACCCTGTGTATTGACGGTAATGCGATCACCCTGTAGAGTGGGTACGGATACTGTGGTGCCGCACAAGGCTTGTTTCAAACTTACTTGGGCACTGTAGCGCAAATCACTGCCTTCACGTTTAAACACTGGATGAGGTTTATCACGTATGATGAAAATAATATCGGCAGGAATTTTACCGGGAGTCTGATCGCCCTCCTGTTGGAAGGTGATCTTAGTGCCAGCCTTCCAGCCAGGTTTAACAGTTATATTTAAGACTTTCTCTTCCTTGCGGGCCTGTCCGGTGGCCAAAGACATGCGTGATATTTTCATTTTCTTAACACAGCCCTTATCAACTTCCTCCAAGGAGACATACAAATCATGTTCAATGGGAGGATCTTGGGTTTGACGTTTACGATTGGGTTGGGCATTAAAGGACTGTGAACGGAATGCTCCTCCGGGGCCACCACCTCCAGTCATTTGTGAGTAAATATCATCATTGTCACCCATGAAAATAGTTTGTGATTCAAAAATGCGTGAGGGATCACCGCCACCAAAGAATATACCGAAGGGATCAGCATTGCCAAAGAATTGGGCAAATGTAGCTCTTGGATCACCGTGATAAGTGTAGGTGCCACCACCCTCATGACCTGCGCCTCCGGGAATGCCACCCTTCAGTCCCTCTTCACCATACTGATCATAAATATCACGTTTCTTTTTGTCCGACAGTACCTCATAGGCCTCTGCTATTTCCTTAAAACGTTCCTCAGCCTGTGGTGTCTTATTCTTGTCGGGATGGTATTTCAAAGCCAATTTGCGATAGGCTTTCTTTATTTCGTCATCATTGGCATTTTTATTGATGCCAAGAATTTTATAGAAATCTTTTCCCATTGTGTGGATTTAAATTTCACTAAACTGCAGTTAATAAGCGGAATTCTAGAAAAAAAATTAAAATTTTATTAGTATTTTGGGAAATTTATAAAAAAAAAAATTGTTACATATTACGTTAACCATGTAACAAACAACAACAACAATAAATGATTTATTTACTTTTTAAAATACTTTTTTCAACGATTATTCTACGATTTTCTTTATTCTAGTGCATAGAACTTTCGAGAGATGTTTTGGGTTTTTTCTTTTTTTTTTTTTGTGCCAACAGTGGTTTTGCACAGAAACGGGTAGAAAATGAAAAATGAATGATTTTTGAATGAAATCGAATTGGACAATAGCGGTCTCATTTCAACTTGTAACAAGTAAATTATATTTTATTTTTTTGCCATCAAAACAGAGAAAATTTGTCAAGTTTCTCTTTCTCTCTTGTGCTCTCTGTGTAATGCCAATTATTAGGCTAATGATTTCATCGACAATTCAAGAATATTCCCGTAACAATAAGAAAAAAAATCATTGCAATATAACTTTTATTTCTCACTAATTTGTAAATAATTAATTAATACAAGCTAATTGTTTTATAATTTAAATTACTTATTTTGAATTAACAAAATAGAAACACTAGGCCTGTGTTTTTTGAACTTTAAAAACTAAAATTGTTTTATTTGTTGCTGCTTTTGTTTTGTAACGTTTATCTGTAATTATTTAAAATTGGTATTTACCTTTTTTAGAATTTTTTTTACTACAGCTTCTTTGATTATTATAAATCTTAAAAATACTTAAGATTTTGTTTAATTAGTTTTATGCAATATGCACTTGAAATTTTAGTTAAACTAGTTAAATTTTTCTTTACTTTTTTTGTATTTGCTGTTTATCTCTGTTTTATTTTAAATTAATTTCAAAGCCAACTTGTTTATTAGTGTTGAACTCTTGTTTTTATATATTATAATAAATCTTTATTTTATTATTAAATAGCAATTAGTTAATATCTTCCACGTATAATACGATTATTTGCTTGAATTTTATCACTATTTTTTCTTGCTTGTTTGTTTTGTTAATAAACCGTTTCCTGGACACTCACTTGTATTTATAGCAAATTGTGTTTCAAATTCTAGAATGTTCCAGATTATTTTGACATTTCTTTGCCTACATAGTTGTATTCATCCGTCAGAGTTGTATTTCGTAAATATGCGAGTTAAATCTGGCAATGCTGTTTTCATAACCACCAGCTTTTGTATATAATATTTAAATAAGACGAGTATTACTTTTTGGGCGTTTTTATATACAAATTGCAATTTTTATCTAAAATTTATTATTTTAAGGAGACAGCACAATGCAACTTATACAATTTAATATATTTATTACTCATTCAATGTAAAATTTTTCAGAAGAATTTCAATTTGACGAAATTTTTTCTATAGGACCTAGATTTGTATAGTTTATTTTAAAATTTATGTATGGGAATGGAGTCTCTCTCCTCTATGTTGCATCAAATACCAACTTCGTTCTATAGACAATTTTGTATACATACAATCCCACCTTTAGAACCTTCTATATGTACATACATACGGAAAATACAGTTCATTGTAGGAGATCTTTGAGAGGCGTTTCCAATATCGTTAAGATGTTTTTTTTTGCTAGTTCAAAAATATTAATTCACTAAAATGGACCTTTTTATCATTAAAATAAAAAAAAAAATAGTTGTACTGATTCGGATATACCTTACTGACCCTAAACTTGATCTATAGCATTATCCATATAAGGATCTAATCTGTAATAATTCTTCATTAATTTTTAAGAAATCCAACTGTTCCACTTCAAAAATAAAAAGCCTCTAAGGGTTAAACATAAACGATTTTTCATTTTAGAGCTTTTTTTTAATTGCAAAGTTGACAACGCTGTCATTTGCAATTTGCAATTTGATGTTTATTTCTGTGTGTTTTTTCATTTCGGTTTTTTCACACACAAACACTTTATTTTTACAAAAATAATCCAAAAAAAATTAATAAAATAAAAATAATGTTTTAGCAACTCTAGCTGCTGATTCGAAAGAAGAAAAAAAAACATATTGACAAACGTGTGTGCCTGTAGTATTACAAACAAATAAAATCCTTAAAAAAATAATTGTGTAAAATTCAAGCAAAAAGAGAAGTAAATTGCAATAGCCGTCAAGTCCTGCACCTGAAAAGAAAATCAACAAAAAGCTAATAAATTAAATACAAAATAATAAAACTTTTAGTAATATGGGTAAGAGATTTAGAATATTTACTTGGGTAACTTTAAATTTGAACCAAGAAGTTATCTTGCGGAAATTTTCTTTCTAATAATTGTGCAAGGTAATGGGCAAATTGTTTTTTTTTTCTTGAGTACTATCAAGATCCTTGAACTATATTCAAAGTTTTTCTAAAAAAATCGTATTATTTTGTAGATGACATAATATGGAGGACGCACAAAAAACAGAACTACGTTTATTCTGGAAACCACGCTAGACGTATTGGTATTCCATATAATGACTTTTGTAGGAGCTGTCAAAATGAAGAAGAAGAGGAAACTATTACTCATTTTCTGTGTAACTGCCCGGCCCTGGAATCGCTCCGTCATCAGGCGCTGGGTTCGTCTCACTTTTCTGATCTATCTGATCTGTCAGCTATTCAACCTGAGTGTATACTAGCATTCTTGAAATTGTCGAAGTGGGTGTGTAACTAAATACACACTATGATTTTTCTGGTAACAGAGTCTTAACTTCTTCGCTATTCTATACTCATCATTCTACTTTCTATATCTGTTTCTTCACTACTTTCTTTATCACTACTCTTCCCCTTCCAAATGTTTTCCCTTAACTTTTCTCTTTACAGACGTTACAAAGGGACCAAATAGGACCCAAGTATAGACTTACTCGTGTTAGTAAGCAGTCTGAAAAACCTAACCTAACCTTATTCTGTCAATATATTCTTCAGTCCTACATGTAACACAAAAGCAACAAACATTTACATAAACTTACATTGCAGCATTAGGAATGAGTATGTTGCATTTGTTGTTATGCATTTATGGGAGTAGGTGTTTTGACTTCTAATTTCGAAAATTGGAACAATGTGTTATAGTTGCAATGTAATGTTTTGTTTTGTTAGGTTTGTTATCATTTTCTCGAGTGACAGGAGCATTAACATGTAGAAAAATCCCGTTATAAAATGTTTAATTGACAAATAGACAAATTTTAGCTTGGTATAATAAATAAACTGCAATATTTCATAGAATGCAAAGGAAAAGTTTAATTTGTTTGTCTCTTATGAGATTCCATAAAAATTATTCTTATTTGTATCACAAGATTCACTGTGTTAGATGAGTTAATTGAATTATTGACTGGCAGATATGTGTTTTATTGCCCTTTCCTCTTTATTTGTTTTTATTTTCTAAATTTTGTTATTAAAAAACCATATCTGGGTTAAATCACGGAAAAGGTTAGGAGGATGTTACAACAGTTCGACTGTGACCACAAGTTCTTTCCTTCTGGTTGATATAGCTGTCGCTGGGTTGACAATCTTTGGCCGGGTATGACTCGTGGAAACTCCATAGAAGAGATGATATATTGCAGTGTAGTGTGGATAGCCTCTAAGGTTAATAATAGGATAAATAATCTGTATATTGCTTAACAAATTTAAAGTGCAGTGTCCTAATGACCCGTCAAGATTAATCTATGAATACGAATGCATCTGTTATATCATTGCATAGTACATTAAGTGAATTAAATTTGTTTTGTTTGAACTAAAAAGTTTAACTGTATGTGTCCATAAATCTATTGGATAAAGTGAAATAGGATTAGCTAAGCAAAGTTGATCCGAACTGAGTCATTTAAGCTTCTCAATTTATTAATGTACTTCTATCTATTGATATTATTGTCTTAAGACCTTAGACCTCTTCGAGGTCCTATTCTTCAATCTATCAGACATACTTTCGATTTGTTTGTAATTTAAACAAACAAACAAAAACTCATGATTTTTCCAAATTTTGAATTATTTTAGATGCTAAGTTCGGTATGTATAGGTAGAGGTATACATAGATAGTAGATATATATCAAAAGAAAGATATTAAAAAGTCCCTTCATTCGATATAGAGTATGTATAGAAAATATATTATTATAAGTTTAAACATTCCCTTCATCATAATTTATTTAAACTATGATATTTTGTAAATATTTGATACACCCAGTATTGAAAGTTCCTCTTTCAGTTCCAAAAAAATCCTATTGTTTGTATGATCACCATCATAGAGTATACGAAACTGTGATTTACTAAACTTTATCATATTCGCATAACTAAAAATCATTACATTTTATAAAATGTTTAACATCAAAGTAGTTGAAGTTTGGAAAATTGAGAAACCTTTATTGTCTTGTAATTAAAAGAGTACAATTTAATATCAAAACAATCATTAAGATAACCTCAAGACTTTAGTAAACATACATGAAGTAAAAATAAATTTCATGCAGATTTTTTTCAATAATATACCATCGAATAAGATACTTTTTTAATAATCATCTTAATAATTATTTTAATGAAATTGTTTTTGTCATATTTAAATAAATATGTTTTAAAATTGAATGGTAGATTCAATTTTACACAATTTATTTTGTAAATTTTACATTGTAAAGAGATGATGTCAATAAACAAACATACAAATACATAAATATGTATGTACATATGTACAAATGTTTATATCGCTAGTAAAAGATATGTATGCAAAATATCTATCACACTCAAAAATTTCCTTCTTTCTTTTTTTGTGAAACACAAAATTTTGATATTTGCTGAAAATCTCACCAAATTCTCAATGCTCGCAAACAAGAAAAGAAAAAAAAAACGATATGAATAAAATTCAAAATTAAGAAGCAACAAATCTCACTAGAACTGGCACTCTGAATCGTATTCAAAACTGAAACGGACGTGGTGTGCGCGTGAATGAATTCGTTTAAAAAAGTGTATATAAAAATATATATTTGAATGTATTTATTTATACATATATTCCGAAAAGAAAAAATACCTCAAGAATAAATAGGTTAGAAAAAAAAGTAAAATATTAGGAAATGAATAAATAAATCAATGGAACATAAATTTTAAAATTCATATAAAAAATATCTAAAAAAGAAAAGTGTTTTTATTGTAAAATTGTTAATTTTTTGTACTTTTCTTTAAATGTTGGTGAACATTTAATATATTATACTTGACTACATATATCTATGAAAAGAAGAAAATTTTATTTATAATATCACGTTCTATATAAGAGATATATGAAGACAAACGCCCCACTTTCGTAACTTTTAAATTCAATTGGCTTTTCGGGAAAATTATAAAAAAATACATATTATTATTAAATATTAACAACTTGTGTGTTTATACATTCATCAGCAGTACTGTGTGTTCTATATTACAAATAATATTATAATAATTGTGGTTTAAAAAGAAACTATGTATGTTGTCTATAATCATTTGGATAAAATCAACCAATTAAAATTAGAATTTATTGAAAATATAAAAAGAATCTAAAAATATTGAAACATTTTCATGTGTAATTCAGTTGAACAATTTAAAAATAAATTCAAAATCAAATTGAATTTATTCAAACGAAAAGAAAAATGGATAAAAATAGATAGACGATGGGCAACTAACTGACAAAAAAAAAAAAAAAGAAAAAAAAAAAAAATTATCTCAACATTCACAGAGTATAGAAATTTTAAGATCAAAATACACACAAACATTTAAGTGCACAAGTTTTCTATATATTTTCTTTATTTTGGCGTTAATTTTAAACTTTTTTATTTATTTTAATTTACATACAAGTTTGTTTTTAAATTTTATATGTTTTTGTTTTTTTATTAATAAATAGCGTTAAACATAAAAATGATAATGCAAAAATTGATTATTGATTTGAAAAAAAAGAAATTTACTTAAAAAAATCATTTATAATTAGAAATGTTTTTTCTTCAGCAAAAGAGAGTAAAAGGGGAAGAGTTTGATGCTCTTGTAGAAAATATTTTGTATCTAACATTTTTACTCTTTTTCCTTCTCTTTTCTATT